ATGATTAGTTTGCGTACTTCAGTATGGATTTGTTGACATGGTATTTCCGGTGTTATGTGCTCACAGTTATGTCTTTGTGTTGGGGAAAAAAACAAAATCTTCAATGCTGTGTATTAGACGACCCACCTTGAAAGCCCCTTAATTCTAGGTATGAAAAACTTGCCTTATACACAGCGAGCGATATACGGTATAAACTCGCCCTTCCAAAAAGACATGAAATGGCTGGATACCGCAAGCTGTAGGCGATCATGTCAAAAGAATTGTGATTGGTTGATAAGGATGCTTGCCTGTGTATTCTGATTGGCTGAAGTTGAGGGTAACATAAGAAACTTTTATTTTTCTGTAATTCCTCAAGGGGTTACAGAGGAGCATGTCTACAGCAAGCTGCCACATATACCAAGCCTGTTTATTACATATTGATGTCACTGAATGCCCATGGCCCAGTCAGCCATGTATGACAGCTATGGCATGGTTTTCACGCCACAGACTGTCGTCTCAAAGGATATGATTTACGCAGAAATTGCATGATAATGTGTTATTCTGTAAAGTTTAACTTAAATACAATATATTTGCCTTCAACAATATTGCAGCCATATTACGACAGCCTGTTAGTAATTGAGTCTGGAAGAGTCAGTGATAACATGATAACATGAGCCACATCGCCAGGGTTGGAAGTCACAATCGTCTAAGTCACGTCATGTTCCACCTGATCCCCACTATGGCTGGCTGCTGTGGAGAGTAGGAGGTACTGTGACCCACTCACTCATCTTCCCGAGTCAAGGGAGTCAACTGACTATACAAGTCCACTCTTGGCGAACTAGGCTCGAATTTCTGGGTTCGTTCGTAGCGCCACCAGTGGCTATTACAAGTTACATCCCTTCTGTGTCCCTTCTGTTGACCAATAAAATTCCACCTCTGATATCACTTGCATTTGTTTCAAACAAAATGGCGGCGCCCAGAGAAGATGATCTGATTGATAATCAAGATCTATACTGTAATAAAACAGGTCTTACTACCTGAAGTTCATCAAATCACGTTGGCACCTTGGAAAATATCTGTTGACGCTAAGTTGACGGTACACATGCTTTGCAAATTGCAATCGACCAAAGTCTGCCGGGCAGTTTACAAATTGAATGCTGATTTTGTTACACAATTTTGACTGGACTATGCATAGACTCGTTAGTCCCCACCCCACCATGAAGAGAACTTGTTAGATGTCTCTAGTATATTTGTTAGCCGTCACAAAATCACCACACTTACAGCAGTGTATGGATTAGCAGTATGAATACAAGTCCAACCTCAAGCCGTTTCCAGAATTGTTCCAATAATACGAACTCAATGAAACATTAACATTTATTTGTCATTAAGAATTGTTTAATTTAGAAACAAGATACAACTTGAAATTAAATACAAAATACGAAGAAACCAGCCTATTCCAGGCTCAAAGAGATTTATTTGTTACATCATTTAGAAATTTTACACACAACAATGTAATAATCAATCTTTGTTCGTATTAATGAAATAATTAGGGTAACTGTTACTTATTTGCAAGTAAACAAAGGTCAAGAGTAGAAACATAACTTTTAAGAATACTTCGTCAAAATGATAATTACAATGTCATCTTGGAACTGGGAAATTAACACAATGAAGAATACTTGTACTCTTGACCTTCACTTAGGGAAAGTCATGGAAACTATTCTAAAACTCACACTCAAAATCAATTGGGTAAAATATTATATCTGTAAAAAAGATTGAAGAACATAGATAAAATGACATGAATATTTGCAAACAGAAAACACAAACATGCATTTACCAGATAGGGATGTCAACGAACAGCGAGCATGTACAACACAAACATTACTACAGCATTACGGGCCACATGTTGAAGGGGACCTATCTAGGCACTACAAGTGAGAGAGGGACCAATCTAGGCACAAGAAGAAGTGAGAGAGGGACCTATCTAGGCACAACAAGAAGTTAGAGAGGGATCTATCTAGGCACTACAACAAGTGAGAGATGGACCATTCTAGGCACTACAACAAGTGAGAGAGGGACCTATCTAGGCACTACAACAAGTGAGAGAGGGACCTATCTAGGCACTACAACAAGTGAGAGAGGGACCTATCTAGGCACTACAACAAGTGAGAGAGCCACCTATCTAGGCACTACAACAATTGAGAGAGGGATCTATCTAGGCGCTACAACAAGTGAGAGAGGGACCTATCTAGGCACTACAACAAGTGAGAGAGGGATCTATCTAGGAACTACAACAAGTCAGAGAGGGACCATTCTAGGCACTACAACAAGTGAGAGAGGGATCTATCAAGGCACTACAACAAGTGAGAGAGGGACCTATCTAGGCACTACAACAAGTGAGAGAGGGATCTATCTAGGCACTACAACAATTCAGAGAGGGACCTATCTACGCACTACAACAAGTCAGAGAGCGACCTATCTAGGCACTACAACAAGTGAGAGAGCGACCTATCTAGGCACTACAACAAGTGAGAGAGGGACCTATCTAGGCACTACAACAAGTGAGAGAGGGATCTATCTAGGCACTACAACAAGTGAGAGAGGGATCTATCTAGGCACTACAACAAGTGAGAGAGGGATCTATCTAGGCACTACAACAAGTGAGAGAGGGACCTATCTAGGCACTACAACAAGTCAGAGGGATCTATCTAGGCACTACACCAAGTGAGACAGGGACCGATCTAGGCACTACAAGTCAGAGAGGGACCTATCTAGGCACTACAACAAGTGAGAGAGCAACCTATCTAGGCACTACAACAAGTGAGAGAGGGATCTATCTAGGCACTACAACCAAGTGAGAGAGGGACCTATCTAGGCACTACAACAAGTGAGAGAGGGACCATTCTAGGCACTACAACAAGTGAGAGAGCAACCTATCTAGGCACTACAACAAGTGAGAGAGGGATCTATCTAGGCACTACAACCAAGTGAGAGAGGGACCTATCTAGGCACTACAACAAGTGAGAGAGGGACCATTCTAGGCACTACAACAAATGAGAGAGGGATCTATCTAGGCACTACAACAAGTGAGAGAGCGACCTATATAGGCACTACAACAAGTGAGAGAGGGATCTATCTAGGCACTACAACAAGTGAGAGAGGGACCTATCTAGGCATTACAACAAGTGAGAGAGGGATCTTTCTAGGCACTACAACAAGTGAGAGAGGGATCTATCTAGGCACTACAACAAGTGAGAGAGGGACCATTCTAGGCACTACAACAAGTGAGAGAGGGACCATTCTAGGCACTACAGCAAGTGAGAGAGGGATCCATCTAGGCACTACAACAAGTGAGAGAGGGACCTATCTAGGCACTACAACAAGTCAGAGGGATCTATCTAGGCACTACACCAAGTGAGACAGGGACCTATCTAGGCACTACAAGTCAGAGAGGGACCTATCTAGGCACTACAACAAGTGAGAGAGCAACCTATCTAGGCACTACAACAAGTGAGAGAGGGATCTATCTAGGCACTACAACCAAGTGAGAGAGGGACCTATCTAGGCACTACAACAAGTGAGAGAGGGACCATTCTAGGCACTACAACAAATGAGAGAGGGATCTATCTAGGCACTACAACAAGTCAGAGAGGGATCTATCTAGGCACTACAACAAGTGAGAGATGGATCTATCTAGGCACTACAACAAGTCAGAGAGCGACCTATCTAGGCACTACAACAAGTGAGAGATGGATCTATCTAGGCACTACAACAAATGAGAGAGGGACCTATCTAGGCACTACAACAAGTGAGAGAGCGACCTATCTAGGCACTACAACAAGTGAGAGAGGGACCTATCTAGGCACTACAACAAGTGAGAGAGGGATCTATCTAGGCACTACAACAAGTGAGAGAGGGATCTATCTAGGCATTACAACAAGTGAGAGAGGGACCATTCTAGGCACTACAACAAGTGAGAGAGGGATCTATCTAGGCACTACAACAAGTGAGAGAGGGACCTATCTAGGCACTACAACAAGTGAGAAAGGGACCATTCTAGGCACTACAACAAGTGAGAGAGGGATCTATCTAGGCACTTCAACAAGTGAGAGAGGGACCTATCTTGGCACTACAACAAGTGAGAGAGGGATCTATCTAGGCACTACAACAAGTCAGAGAGGGACCTATCTAGGCACTACAACACGTCAGAGGGGGTACCTATCAAGGCATAACAAGTGAGAAGGGACCTATTGAGGCACTACAAGTCATAGGGGGGGGCTATCTAGGTACAACAAGTCAGAGAGGGGGCCTGTATTGCCAGTAGTACATGTGAGAGGGGGGACCTATCGAGGCACTACAACAAATCGGGAGGGGACCTATCTAGGCACAACCAAAAGTCAGAGAGGGGACCTATCTAGGCATGAAAAGTCAAAGAGGGGACCTATCTAGGCATGAAAAGTCAAAGAGGGGACCTATCTAGGCATGAAAAGTCAAAGAGGGGACCTATCTAGGCATGAAAAAAAAGTCAAAGAGGGGACCTATCTAGGCACTACAACAAGTCAGAGAGGGACCAATCGAGGCAGTACAACTAGTAAGAGAGGGGGCCTATATTGACACTACAACAAGTCAGAGAGGGGGCCTATATTGGCACTACAACAAGTCAGAGAGGGGGCCTATATTGGCACTACAACAAGTCAGAGAGGGGGCCTATATTGGCACTACAACAAGTCAGAGAGGGGGCCTATATTGGCACTTCAACAAGTCAGAGAGGGGGCCTATATTGGCACTACAACAAGTCAGAGAGTGGACCTATCTAGGCACTACAACAAGTCGGAGAGGGGACATATCTAGGCAGTACAAGATGTGAGAGGGGGGACCTATCTAGGCACTACAACAAGTCAGAGAGGGGAGACCTATCTACGCACTACAACAAGTCAGAGAGGGGACCTACCTCAGCACTAGCACCTACACCAATGAACACAGGAAATGACCTACACCTTCAACAAGGACAGAATAGGGCTTACCTGGACACTGCCATTGTAGGATGACCGGTGGTAGGGGTTTGGTGCCAGGGGAGGGGCCGTGTGGGTGGGGCCCTCGGGAAGATGGTGGTACCCAGAGTTGTGTGAAGACTGGAAGCTGAAACACAGAAAACACAGGTTGTAAATCAGCTGCACCAGGCTAGATGTCAGTGATGGTGATGGTGTCTAACCTCAGCAACCCCCTCATAATGGTGTCTAACCTTAGCAACCCCTCATAATGGTGTCTAACCTCAGCAACTCCCTCATGATGGTATCTAACCTCAGCAACCCCCTCATGATGATGTCTAACCTCAGCAACCCCCTCATGATGGTGTCTAACCCCAGCAACCCCCTCATGATGGTGTCTAACCTCAGCAACTCCCTCATGATGGTGTCTAACCTCAGCAACTCCATGATGATGTCTAACCTCAGCAACTCCATGATGGTGTCTAACCTCAGCAACTCCCTCATGATGGTGTCTAACCTCAGCAACCCCCTCATGATGGTGTCTAACCTCAGCAACCCCCTCATGATGGTGTCTAACCTCAGCAACTCCCTCATGATGGTGTCTATCTTCAGCACCCCCTCATGATGGTGTCTAACCTCAGCAACTCCATGATGATGTCTAACCTCAGCACCCCCCTCATGATGGTGTCTAACCCCAGCAACCCCCTCATGATGGTGTCTAACCTCAGCAACTCCCTCATGATGGTTTCTAACCTCAGCAACTCCATGATGATGTCTAACCTCAGCAACTCCCTCATGAGGGTGTCTAACCTCCACAGCCCCCTCATGATGGTGTCAACTTCAGCAACCCCTCTTGTGAAGGTGCTAAACACCCCTTTTCATGATGGTGTCATAGTAAATGAGTGAGTGAGAGCAATATCACGGCAAGGGACACCAGAAATGGGCTTCACACATTGTACCCATGTTGGGAATCGAACCCGCGTCTTCTGCGTAATGAGCGAACGCTTTAACTACCGGGCTACCCGACCGCCCCTCATAGTAAATGAACACCAATCTTTAACAACTGGTGTCCTACATTTAAGCTCACCTATTCTGATGGTGTCTGGTCTGCTGAGATGTGTTATGTTGCGAGGCATGGTGTCCGCTGCCCTGGGGAGCGTGCGTGGAGCGGCCCCCAGAGCTCCATCTGTCCCCCTCAACAGCCCCCCGAGACCTACAACACGACAACGTAAGACCTCTCTCAGTGCTACTTGACACAATAAATATTAAATAGTCAAGAAGAAGAAGAAGAGTGAGTGAGTTGGGTTTAACAGTATTCCAGTTATATCACGGCGTGTCAGCTTAATGTGGGGGGAAAGCCCCAAGTGATGCAAATCTCAGACGTTTACCACTTTGGTGAAACCCACAAGCCTAGGTATGGTGCTGACAAACCTAGAAACATAATCGGGGCGAACCGGGATTCGAACCCACAATCATAGGTTTCTGGCATGCCTGGCAAGGGACGCAACTCTGCACAGCGAATTGCAGCGGCTACCTGTGCCCCCAAGAAGAAATAGAAGTACATGGGCTCAGCACTATTCCACAGTTCCACTGCACACAGTAGGTAAAATTACTACCCTGGGTGCCGTTATACAAAGCTATCTTAGCGCTAAGGTGATCTTAACTCCCTTACCTTAACACAGACTTACGACAGTCGTAGAGCTAAGGTTGCTTTGTACAGCACACCCTGGTCAACAGTTCAGTATTCATTTAGTTTTCTTTCTCAGCTCCCTGGGGAACATACAGCCTAAGCTGCCTGTAAGGCGCCTGAAGGTTCTGCATTTCTATCACATGAACTACACTATGTGAAACGCTGTCACCCAATGATAGTCACAAGTACAGTGTCGTTACAAAAAGCCAATGAAAGGGAACTATTTACAGTGTAAGTCACTATACTCTTGTCGTGTGTAGCCATTCACAGGTATGCTACCTTACCTGCTACAGAGGTACCTACAATACTGTAACTGTCTCACTGCATTGTATCCGATAAAATAACCTTTTGTACATAGTAAACACTCATTGAAAGAAACAAATGATATGCCATAACCACAACGTCAAAAAACTCAAATCAAGCAAGAACTTGACAAGCAAAATGAATGTGGGCTGTTTGCGAGTTGTGTGAATCCAGAGCTGTGCACACAAAGACATCTGGCTGGGGAGTTTCATGCACACATTGCACAGGAACCATGGCACAGGCGTAACGGAGAAACAATCCAACCCAAGACTTGCTCTATCTGTCTAGGAAGCGAATCATACGAACCAAGTCATCTGTTTCTCTAGCATCCTACCTTCTTTAGATACAGTGGCAAAAGCCATGTACATTATGTGCAAAAACATACACTATTCGTAAAACTGTGTACGTCCAATCTAGGACACTGTGTGTAGTCATCATCTGTTCAGCTATGTGCACTTATTATCTGTAAGATAGTATTGTAGTTTCTCTGTACATATTACCTACATACAATGCTACGTTATCTGTATAGTGTGAGTTATTTGTAAATTGGTGTGTATATATTGTGTATCTGTTACAGTCAATGTGTAAAATGACTGAAACTTTTACTTAAGCAATTTACAAAACGTCAAAATGTTTCAGTCATTTTACAATTATTTTTCCATCCGATTGACTGAAAGGTATTACAAAGTTCAAAAGGGCTTAAACATATCACAATAGAGTCTTTTGAATAGACTAAACCTTGCAAGGATGAGAAGCCAAAATATTTTTAAAAATATACAATGACTTGTGTTACAGTGTATAGTGTTGCAAGTGGGAAAATATGATTAAAATAACTTAAATATTAGGGAATTTTGTAAATTGCCTAAATGAAAATTTCAGTCCTTTTACACATTGACTGTAACAATTACACTGTATGTTATTATATATTATATACACTATGTATGTAAATATTACTTGTATACACTGTGAATGTATGCATTATGTTTACACTTTGAGTGTATATATTATTACCCGTATACACTGTGTGTGTAAATATTACTTGTATACACTATGTATGTATACATTATTTGTTTACACTGTGTGAAAATATTATTACCTATATACACTGTGTGTGTAAATATTACTTGTATACACTATGTATGTATACATGATTTGTTTACACTGTGTGTATACATTATTACCTGTATACACTGAGTGTGTAAATATTACTTGTATACACTATGTATGTATACATTATTTGTTTACACTGTGAGTGTATATATTATTACCTGTATACACTGAGTGTGTAAATATGACTTGTATACACTGTGTATGTATACATTATGTGTTTACACTGTGTGTATATATTATTACCTATATACACTGTGTGTGTAAATATTACTTGTATACAATGTGTGTTTATATATAATTTGTATACACTGTATATGTATGTATTATTAGTACGCACTTTGTATATTTTACTGGTATAGAATGTGTTATTCAATTGTTCACATATTATCTAAAACACCATACCACTTCTTGGACAAATCAACAACATAATCCCCCACAGAACAGCTCTATCCACTCTCGTCACCATGCAAACCTCCTACATCCATGCTGGCCATTAAGCTGATCTTGGAATTACGGCTCAAAATACAAAATGTGCATTTCAAACATAAAGCACACAAAATATGACATAAGTTAGGCAAATAAACAAAATATCTGCAAATCAGTTCCCAGAAAACAATGCACACTGCAACTAAAATGAGCATTTTCCAACAGACAGTTGGCTGTAAGCGAGGGGGTGAAGGGGGACTGGGAGCAGTGAATGTAAGGCACAGGACTACACCGGCGACATTCCTTGCTACCCTCACAGCATACTTACCGTTTGTAATTATGATATTTGTTCCACATTCTGCAGCAAACATTACAGAACATCGTCAATGATCAAAGGGAGATAACTCAACAATTCACAGCAACTTTCAACATTCCACCACACATCGGACATTTACCCCGTATTTTGTGGCGAGACATTAGGTGCTAATGAGGAACTTCCACACATGCAAAATACCGTGAATTATCATTAGTGCAGCAGAATGTCAATATGTCATTAGAACGTTAGACATTAAACAAAGCCAGAATCAATACACTGATCAATTTGAGATGAATACTTATTTAAAATAGTTTTTCTTTGTTGTTTTACGCTACACGCAGCAAATTTTGGTTATATAGCACCAGCCTGTAACCAATCCAGTCTGGACCAGACAATCCAGTGATTGATATTGTGATCAACGATCCCCGCTGTTGGGGTACGATGACACAGTCAATGAAATCGCAGAGTCTGACAACCTGACCCATTTGGTCAATTCTTACGACAAGCCAAGGCTGTTGGGGATCAATTCTAGCCTGGAACCCCCACAGGGAGACACGTATTTACCTCTCTGACATGCGAATGTACAATTCAGCCTTACTGTCATGGATCGGATCCATACATATCAATCTCCTACAAGTTTATCATTCATGCATACAAATGTGTAGTATTTTGGGATTCTTGCTTCAAGCAAACACAACACCAATCTTTCAGGAAAGCGGAAAAGGAAAATCAGAAAGTAAGATTTGCTTTACAGTTTACATTTCCCCAAAGTTGTCAAAGTGAAATAAAAATGAAATGAAACGGATATGTGTTAATGATGATGATCTCGGAGGATACATTCCAATGTCATTACACAATTCAGTTCAGGATATTGTTAGTGTTATCACAACTGCAAACAAAATTTTCTATGAAAACCACACAAACAATAAAAACATATCTGATAATTGTAGATTCCCCCACACCTTCTTGTTTGAATGTTTGTTTGTTTGTTTAACACCGCACTCAGCAATATTGCAGCTATATGATGGCGGTCTGTAAATATTCGAGTATGGACCAGACAATCCAGTGATTGCTATCATGAGCATCGATCTATACAACTGGGGTATGAGGGCATGCATCAACCAAGTCAGCAAGTCTGACCACCCAATCCCATTAGTCGCCTTTTATGGCAAGCATAATTGCCTTTTATGGCAAGCATGTGTTGCTGAAGGCCTATTCTAACCCAGATCTTCACGGGTCCCCACGACTGAACTGAATGAGGTCCCCATCCTTCTCATCTATGACTACTTGATGATACAGGGAAAGAGCATGCAGAGGCAATCAGTGGAAAGAAGAGGGTACAGTATTAGACGGGTTAACTGTCTGCAAACGGAGTACCTGTTATCCTTGGGGGGAATTAAAGTTTTCTGCCATCTTTGAAGCTGCTCTTTGTAAGGATCAGATCTAGAACATCACACCCAAGTCTTTATTTACAAAAATTATAGTTTTGCTCAACAAATTTTGAATTGAAAACCCTATTGTTATTGTTTTTATCAGGGATAATTTTGAAAATGGAACTTGTATCCTAAAGGTCGACCTCTGATGATGACACGACATGAAACATGAGAGCAATGATGTAACACAATGAACACTTGACGATTTCTGAGAAACAAAATATTGAGTTCCTGCAAACATGATATGATTATACAGACATTGAGAACAGAAATACATCACAGCAACCTCTCATACCTCATTCCTTATTTTAAGCTTTCATAATAAAAGATTCTCCAAATTGTCAGACAATGCATAATGATGTGAAGGTCTCCTGTATAACCATGTGAAACTGCCTGAACTATCATATTGCGTACTGGTATTTTAAACACTGGCCTTAATTATGAACATTCAAAAACAAAAAATTAAACATTAAAATTCATAGACAATTTCAGAAAAATCTTTCCATTATCAACAAATTTCCTTAAAGTGTCATCCAAAAACATTTTTCACTAGCAAATTAAAAATAGCGTAAATTAAATTATGTTTACAACTGATTTCTGTGACCTATTCCTGAGTTGTGGGAAGTCAGAGTAGAGCAACTTGATGTGGATGGCGCCGCGTTCAGTGTCAATACATGCCCCGTGACAGGGTCGTGTGGAATGAACGCATCCCTCAGTGCGACAATGGCAATAGGGCAGCATAGCGACAGCATGTTAAATATCCGTGTAATGAAGAAACAAATCGAACCAACATTGTGACAAAATGTGCGATCACCACCCGAGGCCTACAGCTGCAGCTGTGGCAGCACATGGCGTCCATCACCTTCCCACTCACAGCAGGAATCTCAACAACCAAAGGCTGTAGTAATGGAGGGTCTAGTCACGAATACGACATGGAAACAGATCTGTGAAACTTGTCAGTGACAAATTCAATTTTATCCGTAAGTGTTATTTAGTTGTTCTTGGAAAGTTATTTTGGGTGGTTTTTTTACAACATGCAGCCCCCTACAGAATAAAGGTTGTTTTTTCATTCTTTTCCCTACATTACGCAATAACACTTCATCCAGATTAGCATGGCTGCTATATTTGTTTCCAGATACTTTTCTGTACAATGTATCCCAAACTTGATACAAATAGTATTTCCCCACAGGAAACAAATGATACACGTCCGATCTCTATTTTCATTTTTCAGATTTTCATCAGTGATATATGTAGATTATACACATGTTCCTGCCCCTTTCACACAAAGACTCCACCAACCCTAAAGTCCTGCCCGACTCCCTCAACCCCCGTCCCCCTCCTTTTCCCCTCCCAGTGATCCATCTCTCCAACCGTGACCCACCCAGCCCCTCCAAGTGCCCTGCCAGGTGTGTGTCTCACCTGTGTGTGTTGTACTGCTCTGGGTTGTCGACCCATTACTATGAGGCCTGCCCCTCCCTCCCCCTCCCCCCTCAAAGAGCCCTGCCAGCTGTGTGTCTCACCTCTGTGTGTTGTACTGCTCGCGGTTGTCGACCCATTACTATGAGGCCTGCCCCTCCCTCCCCCTCAAAGAGCCCTGCCAGGTGTGTGTCTCACCTCTGTGTGTTGTACTGCTCTGGGTTGTCGACCCATTACTATGAGGCCTGCCCCTCCCCCCTCAAAGAGCCCTGCCAGGTGTGTGTCTCACCTGTGTGTGTTGTACTGCTCGCGGTTGTCGACCCATTACTATGAGGCCTGCCCCTCCCTCCCCCTCAAAGAGCCCTGCCAGCTGTGTGTCTCACCTCTGTGTGTTGTACTGCTCTGGGTTGTCGACCCATTACTATGAGGCCTGCCCCTCCCTCCCCCTCCCCCCTCAAAGAGCCCTGCCAGCTGTGTGTCTCACCTCTGTGTGTTGTACTGCTCGCGGTTGTCGACCCATTACTATGAGGCCTGCCCCTCCCCCCCTCAAAGAGCCCTGCCTGGTGTGTGTCTCACCTCTGTGTGTTGTACTGCTCTGGGTTGTCGACCCATTAACTATGAGGCCTGCCCCTCCCCCCTCCAAGTGCCCTGCCAGGTGTGTGTCTCACCTCTGTGTGTTGTACTGCTCTGGGTTGTCGACCCATTACTATGAGGCCTGCCCCTCCCCCCTCAAAGAGCCCTGCCTGGTGTGTGTCTCACCTCTGTGTGTTGTACTGCTCTGGGTTGAAGGTGCTGACTGTGGACCCGTCCCGCTGGCTGTGATGGTGATGCGAGCTCCTTGAGGTCTCGTGCACCTCCTGGGAACATAACAAACAGGAATACCATGAGCATAAACAGTCCTGGGAACCGAAACCGTGTTCAAGTAGCGCGAACATCAAATTATCCTCCCAGAGATTACTTACTTGTATTTTCAGTGTTATTTCTGGCTTTAACTACAACATTTGGCACTCTCTAGTCTGGAGACAGATGTTGCCAGTCTCAGAATCAAGTGAACTCAAACCACGTGTCCGTTAGTATTATTCAGAATCAATGATTTGGGGAACATGACTCTAACACAGTACACACTGAGCACGTACCTGGTACATGACACACAGTCAGGGTATGTACCTGGTACATGATACACAGTGGGGTACGTACCTGGTACATGATACACAGTGGGGTACGTACCTGGTACACACTGCTGCGCTCCTCGCGGTGGTAGTGGTGGCGAGGCTGTTGACTATGACTGCTGTGTTGACTGTGCTGACTCACGTCCATGTTGACGGGGTGAGAGTTCTGAACAATACGAGACACCATCAGTACACAATCAATAAGATCATCACAGGAGTGCCAGTCAGCATGCTCTGTCACAAAGCTACACGGCCATTGTCTACATAATGCATCATCTCCATACTGTGAGGACATGAAAAGAGGAGTTTTTGCAATTACAAAACAAACAGAAAAAAAAGAATCACTTTCTTTTCACACAAAAATCTCCAACATGATCTTACCCGGGTCCTGACGACCGGCGCCATCTGCATGTCCTGCATGTGAACCACTGGGGAAGATTGCACCTGGCCGTAGCTGTCCCGCTGCCGAGAACTGGGGAATAGACACAGTACTATACCCTCCACTGGGGAATAGACACAGAATTATACCCTCCACTGGGGAATAGACACAGAATTATACCATCCACCGGGGAATATACACAGGATTATACCATCCACTGGGGAATAGACACAGTACTATACCCTCCACTGGGGAATAGACACAGAATTATACCCTCCACCGGGGAATATACACAGGATTATACCATCCACCGGGGAATAGACACAGAATTATACCCTCCACCGGGGAATATACACAGGATTATACCCTCCACTGGGGAATAGACACAAAATTATACCCTAAACTGGGGAATAGACACAGAATTATACCATCCACTGAGGAGTAGACACAGAATTATACCCTCCACTAGGGAATGACACAGAATTATACACTAAACTGGGGAATAGACACAGAATTATACCCTCAACTGGAGAATATACACACAATTATACCCTCCACTGGGGAATATACACAGAATTATACCATCCACCGGGGAAAAGACACAGATTAATACCCTCAACTGGGGAATCGACGCAGAATTATACCCTCAACTGGGGAATAGACACAGAATTATACCCTCCACTGGGAACATACAGTTTAGGATACACATATTTACTTCACATCTCATGTTAAGACTGCCATGACATCTACATAAGAACAATTGACATATTTCATAGAAAATAGCATGGTGTTTCTGTTTGTCTGTCACAATAATCCTTGATGCTGTCTACAGGTATGAGTACCGTCCGGATGAATGCTTACCTGTTGTTTTCAGAATTTGAGTAGTTGTCATAGTAACCACTATGTCTGTTTTGTGTATTCTCTCTGCCAGACAAATGGTACTGCGTTACACTGCCCTTGTCTGATAGCCCGGCCTGGGAGTTTCGGTCAGACTCCCTGTCAACACATGATCACAACATGGAACTCAGGAGAATATCCCATGCTGTCTATCAGGAGACTTCTGGTCATGGACACTTAACTGAACCATACAACTATTCACAGGCTGATACTAGGATTACGGAGTGAGTGAGTTTGGTTTAATGTGACCCTGGATGTCAGAGCTTGTCAACTTGCTGTGGGTTTGTTTGTTTGTTTGTTGTTTAATGCTGTACTCAGCAATATTCCAGCTGTATCTTGGCAGTCTGTAAATAATCGAGTCTGGACCAGACAATCCAGTGATTGACATCATGAGCATTGATCTACGCAATTGGAATTTGATTACATGCATTAACCAAGCCAGACCACCCAATCCCATTAGTTGCCTCTCACGACAAGCATAGTCGCCTTTTACGGCAAGCATGGTTGCTGAAGACCTTTTCTAACCAGGGCAAATTTGGGATTCAAACCCATAATCACAGGTTTCTGGGACACCTCAATGATGCAAGTCTTTGACCTTGGGGAACCTAACCCCTGGAAGAGAATCTCAAAGGCTTTCAGGAATTCTAGGGTTTAGGGTGTTTTACTACTGTGAAGGACACATTTCTGACACTTTATTATCTTCTGACAAAAAACATTGCACTTTGTGGAGAGTTGACTGTGGACCACACTACCAATTGTTTCACTGACTGTTTCTACAATGTACTCCCTACATATGTATATTCTTGCTTCTCATTGTCTCCACGACTTACCCAAAGCTTTTTCTCCTCGCTGCCCGCATCTTCTGTCTGGTCTTGGGTGAGTATTTGATCTTAAAAGGTTCAGCTTTGGTTCTGAAATATTTGTTACAAAATATTATTTTACAATAAATTGTTTATTGACATATTAATCATATGTCAGACTTTGCATTTCTCTTTCTTCTTTCGCCCCTAAGTGGAAACATGTCTGACACAAATGTTCCCAGCTTCTAAAATTATTTCACCTTTGGTTCTGAATAACTGTCAAAATAAATCTGTTTACAGAATTGTTACAGAAGTTGTCTCCCTTTAACTGATAGAACTCTTCCTCAATGACGACAGGTTGAATTTCTGTGAACTATTTCTCTTCATCACTCACTCCTTACACAATGCAACAAAACTCATCAAGCACCAGTCAATGTTCTCTATCAATACAAACATATTTCTTGTCTCTAAAAAAATTTCATGTACAGTTCAAGATGTTTAATATTTTCCTCACCAAAGAGAATAATACATTAATCTAAAGGACATAAAAATCAGGGAACAGTTGCTGCGTCACATTACTCTGTGTCACAATATCATTGTATGGATGCAGAGTGAGTGAGTGAGTGAGTGAGTGAGTGAGTGAGTGAGTGAGTGAGTGAGTGAGTGAGTGAGTGAGTGAGTGAGTGAGTGAGTGAGTGAGTGAGTGAGTCAGTCAGTCAGTCATATACTCACTCTATCTTTGTGTACGTGATCTCGCGCATCTGATCTTCAGACATGCCCTGCGTGTCCACCAGCCCGTATCTGAAACAGCAACATCATCAGTTGTATCACGAGGAAGGGAACAGCCTGCAGGAACTGTTATCATGACTCCTTATGTCAGACTGCATGGCCAGATGCCGTCTTGCTAAACCCACAAGCAGGCCTGTTCGTGTGATGAAAAGTTTGGCTCAGCACTAACAACACCATATATTCTTAGGTACAGCATGCAGATCCTATTTTTTACATACTACACTAAATATGCGTCAGCAATGGTCAGTCACCCCCATTTTGTTGTCTTGGATACAGGGGACATAACCACATGAGAGAGAGGGGTGCTACTACACCCCTAATTGTGCTACTACACCCCTAATTGTGCTACTACACCGCTAGTTGTGCTGCTACATCCCTCAGTGTGCTGCACCATCTCTAATTGTGCTGCTACACCCCTAATTGTGCTGCTACACCCTTAATTGTGCTGCTACATCTCTAATTGTGCTGCTACATCTCTAATTGTGCTGCTACATCCCTAATTGTGCTGCTACATCAATAATTGTGCTGCTACATCCCTAATTGTGCTGCTACATCAATAATTGTGCTGCTACATCCCTAATTGTGCTGCTACATCCCTAATTGTGCTGCTACATCCCTAACTGTGCTGCTACGTCAATAATTGTGCTGCTTCATCTATAATTGTGCTGCTACATCCCTAATTGTGCTGCTACATCTCTAATTGTGCTGCTACATCTCTAATTGTGCTGCTACATCCCTAATTGTGCTGCTACACCCCTTATTGTGCTGCTACACCCCTAATGGTGCTGCTACATCCCTAATTGTGCTACTACATCTCTAATTGTGCTACTACATCTCTAATTGTGCTGCTACACCCCTAATGGTGCTGCTACATCCCTAATTGTGCTACTACATCCCTAATTGTGCTGCTACATCCCTAATTGTGCTACTACATCTCTAATTGTGCTACTACACCCCTAATTGTGCTGCTACACCCCTTATTGTGCTACTACATCCCTAATTGTGCTGCTACACCCCTTATTGTGCTGCTACATCTCTAATTGTGCTACTACACCCCTAATTGTGCTGCTACACCCCTTATTGTGCTGCTACATCTCTAATTGTGCTGCTACACCCCTAATTGTGCTGCTACATCCCTAATTGTGCTACTACATCCCTAATTGTGCTGCTACACCCCTAATTGTGCTGCTTCATCTATAATTGTGCTACTACACCCCTTATTGTGCTACTACATCCCTAATTGTGCTACTACACCCCTAATTGTGCTGCTACATCCCTAATTGTGCTGCTACACCCCTAATTGTGCTGCTACACCCCTAATTGTGCTGCTACATCCCTAATTGTGCTGCTACATCCCTAATTGTGCTGCTACACCCCTAATTGTGCTTCTACATCTCTAATTGTGCTGCTACATCCCTAATTGTGCTGCTACATCCCTAATTGTGCTGCTACATCAATAATTGTGCTGCTACATCCCTAATTGTGCTGCTACATCTCTCATTGAGTAGATTGATGGCTATACACAACAAGCCTTGGTCTGTGATGAATGCTACTATCCTGCACAATACGTACTCGATATACTTCCTCAGTTCCTCGGGAGGCCTCTTCCCACCTGGTGACTTGCTACGTCTGAAACAGAACATACATGAGTCAGGAGACACATCTAACATATGCACAGATTGTAGTGGAACATGGAGGTTTCCTTCTGAAAGCTCTGTTTATCTCTCATGTGCTATGAAAACATCCCAACTGCCATTCAGGTTCTCTTTAGCACAGTACTTATCACTGCTACTGAGTGTTCAAACAGGCTCTAGATGTTCTAGTGTTCATTACAAGGGACACAATGGGGCTGAAGTCACAGTTTTTGAAAGAAAGTGACAGATTGCAGATATAAAGTCATGTTATTTATATTTAAATATACACCTAAAATAATGTTAAACCCTCTCTTCTATAGATATTATATCCGTAGCCATTTATAAAATGTGCATTTTGTAATAATTGTCTTATGAAACACTTTCGGGATTTTGAAAAATTGAGTCACACACTGAAACTGTATGGTTTAGAAGGTTTCAAACAGGCAAAAGTGGCTTCCTCTTGCTTGATATGATACATGACTTGTGAGCATCTTGAGGAACAGACCGACTTCTTGAACTTTTCAACAGGTATCAGCAGTATATTAGACATGTACAGTGTCACATGCAGATATCATGGACGTGCAGGATGTAGGGAAATAAGAATGGGTGTTGCTTTACATTTTTCCAGGTGTATATTTATAGATGAAATTAGTTGCTAAGCAACAGACCTCCTTCGCCTCCTCTGCCTCTGTTCTCCACCGGGGGCCGAGTGTAGAGATGGGATTGAGCTGCAGATAGACAGGTGAGACATGATACGATACAGGACAGAGACAGGTCAGACATGATACAGACAGGTCAGACATGATACAGACAGGTCAGACATGATACAGACAGGTCAGACATGATACAGGATAGACAGGTCAGACATGATACAGGACAGAGGCAGGTCAGACATGATACATACAGGTCATACATGATACATACAGGTCAGACATGATACAGACAGGTCAGACATGATACAGACAGGTCAGACATGATACAGACAGGTCAGACATGATACAGGATAGACAGGTCAGACATGATACAGGACAGAGGCAGGTCAGACATGATACATACAGGTCATACATGATACATACAGGTCAGACACGATACAGACAGGTCAGACATGATACAGGATAGACAGGTCAGACATGATACACAGGTCAGACATGATATAGACAGATCAGACATGATACAGGACAGGTCAGACATGATACATACAGGTCAGACATGATACATACAGGTCAGACATGATACAGACAGATCAGGCATGATACAGACAGGTCAGACATGATACAGGATAGACAGGTCAGACATGATACATACAGGTAAGACATGATACATACAGGTCAGACATGATACATACAGGTCAGACACGATACAGACAGATCAGGCATGATACAGACAGGTCAGACATGATACAGGATAGACAGGTCAGACATGATACAGACAGGTCAGACATGATACAGGATAGACAGGTCAGACATGATACAGACAGGTAAGACATGATACATACAGGTCAGACATGATACATACAGGTCAGACACGATACAGACAGATCAGGCATGATACAGACAGGTCAGACATGATACAGGATAGACAGGTCAGACATGATACAGACAGGTCAGACATGATACAGACAGGTCAGACATGATACAGACAGGTCAGATATGATACAGACAGGTCAGACATACAAGATACACAGGTCAGACATGATACAAGATAAGATAGGTCAGCCATGATACAAGATACAGACAGGTCAGACATGATACAGATAGGTCAGACATGATACAGATAGGTCAGACATGATACAGTGAGTGAGTGAGTATGGTTTTCACCACTTGGAGCAATATTCCATATATCAAGGTAGGGGACACCAGAAATGGGCTTCACACAATGTACCCAAGTGGGGAATCAAAACCCGGGTCTTCGGCATGACGAACGAACGCTGTAACCACTAGGCTACCCCGTTGCCCCAGGTATGATACATACAGGTCAGATAAGATACAGAAGTATCAAGAAAATTCTTATCAAGAAAAATCTTATCCATGAAATGGTAATTATTCTTGGATTATGCCACTATATTCAGCTTACTGTCAAAATATCTACGCAAGCAATAACAATCATTTTCTACATTACAATTACTACTTATTTCATCAAACCAGACAGTTGATTAACATTGTTTAACGGCACACTCAGCAATATTTCAGCCATGTCAGCGGTCTGTAAATAATCAAGTCTGGACCAGACAATGTCCAGTGATTGACATCATGTGCATCAATCTACGCAGTTGGTATTTCGATGGCAAATCACAGAGCCTAACCACCCAATCCTATGTCACCTCTTACGACAAGCATAGACGCCTTTTACAGCAAGCTTAAGACCTATTCTACCCTGGATCTTCACGGGTGACCTCACATGGAAACCATGTAACGTTCGTCAGACAAAGACATATTCACATTTACACCATTAAGTTTGAGATTATATATTCTTACCCATTCGGATGATTTTCTTTGTCAGCAAACGGATATAATCTGAAACGAGATCCCAATTACAGAGCAGGTTGGACAACAGACATCATAAAGATACTACTCAAAAGAATTTAAAGAACAGACTTTTTCATATGGCCATGACAGTTTAACTACAGTCATATGAAAATATAACGTGTACCTTAACTTTTTTTGAGTAGTATATACCTGGTTTCAATGTTTGTTGAACATACGCTAGTTTTTTTAGGTCAACTAAGAGGCCATCGTGCGATGGTGTATTCTGTAACCAGGGCCCCGTTCCACAAAGCGATCTTAGCGCTAAGGCGATCGTAAGTCCCATTCTTTATCACTGACTTACGACAATCGTAGCGCTAAGATCGCTTTGTGGAACGGGGCCCTGGCTCTCAAAATATGGCTGTCCTGGGCCCTTGAGGTTCGCTCCAATGAAACAAGGGACCCTCGACTCTGTGAATGTTAACTTGAGACTATAACAAGGACGCGCTGTGGAACACGGGGCAGACAGTTACAGCTAGGACCGACTCACATTGGTATGTGGCCACCCTGAATGTTGCTGTCGTTGGAGACACGGTTGCGGCGGTTCTGTAGGACGTTCCTGTAGGAGACATCAGACTCGCTGCCACTGTCGATCTCCCGTCTGGAACATACGGCCAACATCATAACACAAGGTCCGGTAATTAAATCCAACATCAAACTAAGGAAATGGTCACCAGTTGAAGCTATGAAACTCCTCATGGGAAGGAGTTAACTGACTTTATAAGTCTTGTTTCCACCCTTGCAGAACTTGGCTGGAATTTTCTTAGTGCCACTAGTGACTATACGAGTTATGTCCCTTCTATGTCCCCCCTACTGGCCAGTCAGATTCCACTTCTCAATACACTTGCATTGCTTCAATCAAAATCATGGCACCCAGTCAAGACAACCTCAAGGATAATAAAGATCTTTATTGTAATAAAACAGGTTTTACCTGGCGGAGTACATCAAATCACTTGAGCACTTTGATAAAAGCATAGAAAGATTGGGAAAATATCTGTCAACACTCAGTTGACAGAAAGCATACTCTGCAAATCCCGCAATGGAATGAATTCGGGTTGAGTTGAGTAGCCATGTTATTTATGAACCGGATGTCGATTTCATTATGGGATTTTGATTGGACTATACATCCAAAATATAACTCCATAATTCCAGCTTAGTTCAACAAGGGTGGACTGAACTTTATAAGTCAGTTAACGTCCGTGCTTTGGGAAGATGCTACACATGAATGGCCTTCCAACTAAATCTTCATGGGTTTCCAATATGTGAATAGATGACTTTTATTCCATAAACCATTTGATAGTTGAGCCAACGTATTAAACTTGTTATGATGGAATACAGTGAGTGATCCGTGTCTTACCTCCTCCTGCGAGGTGCTGACACTTCGCTGTCGTTGTCCGATCCTCGTTTGTTGGGGAAGTACCTGCAAGAACATCATTTCTCTACAACAGACTGCAGTTAGCCACCAAGCAATTGCAGTGATAAAATATCTTTTGTTTGATATGTAATGCCACGCCAGCCATGTGTTGTAAGACCATAAGTATTTATTGTGTGTTCATAAACAATCAAGTCTGGTTAAGTCAAACCAGTGATTGATAGTGTGAGCAACAGCCTATGTTGTCAGGGTATGATAACACACAATCAACCAAATCCCCGAGTCCGACCCTCCCAATCCATTTAGTCATCTATTAGACTGCATAGACTGCAGGGGGCCACAGGGTGATAAAATACAAAGATTAATACATTGAGTTCAGACATTCTGACACTACAATTTTGTAGTTGAACTTAGTTAAGTCATTTCTAAGCTATTCATATAAGGCTTCACCCATACAAGTTCATGTACAGCTAGTTCAGGTGTAACAGCGGCGTTAAACTCCCTCAGCTATTGTGATTAGTGAGGAGTTAACCCTGACAGTGAGTGAGTATGGTTTTACGCCGCTTTTAGCAATATACCAGCATGACGAGCGAACGCTTTAACCACTAGGCTACCTGACCGCCCCTAACCCTGACAGTGAATGACACTCACAGATACAAGGTCTTACTTCCTTTTTTTTAAAATCACTTTATTTCTTTTATCTTGCATACAGATAGGTCGTTATTTCAATAGTATATTAGATTATGTTGGTCGTTATTTCAATAGTATATTACATTATGTTGGTTAACGTGAGTATATGAAGTTACTCTTGTGACCCACATATTAAATACATGTTGGAAAGCTAAATTTGTCAATACAGTTTGGTTATGCCAAAAGGTCTTACTTCCTGCGACTGACTGCACTCTCACTGTCGCTGGCCTGCCGGTTGTAGATGTGGCGCTCGCTGCGGGTGGACAGTGGTGAGTCTTTGCCCGAGGTGTACAGTCCACTGAAGCACAAGCAGGATTATCATATGATACTGGAAGACCTTGACTACCACATAATCTACATACAGCACGAGGGAATTCCCTTTGTACAAAAGCTCACAGGTGTTGTTACAACCACCACATCTTGATTCAACAATTCAGGCAAAACACGGCCATAGGTCAACAAAATCCATGATGGTAAATGTAACGCAATTGTTTTGAAGTGCTTGGAAGCAGGACAACCTTTTACTATGGATGCCAAATTACAGGCCTTCACAAAACATTTTTTCAAGTTTTAAGATTTTTTCTAGCCAAATTCTTTTCAAGGCCAAATTGCGGCATTCACGGCCTTTTCAAAGTACTTTTTCAAATTGTGAGGCCTTTTCAAAGCCTGGGCGCTACAGACAGGACTTTTTCAAAACTTCTTTTTTTTAAAGTTTAAGGCCTTTTCAAAGCCAGGTTGCTGCATTCAAGGCCTTTTCAATAAGTTTTTTCAACCCTGTTTGAACCTTGTAGTGTCAACATCGGTTTCGGAAACAGGTCCCGGAATTATTGCAGCTGAACTGACAACAGGTACCAGGTGTACTCACCCCTCATAGTTGGTCTTCCAGGGGGCCGACCGGACACTGGTGGGGGACTCCTTGCCCTGTAGCTCCGGGAGGCTTCGATGTCGGGGACTGTGGAAACACGACAGGCAACACAAGGTTATTACACACAAGAACAATAATTGTCTATGCTGCATTTTCATTTTCTCTGGCATGTACATAGTGCATTCAGACTGAAGGGTGAAATGTAATAGGTCTAATTCACTTGAAGTACGTCTTGAGTTATCATGTAAATAAACTTATTTCGAGAAGGACTTGACCTATGACGTAAGTAATTTGTGTGATAGAAGGGTCAAGTAGACAGCAAGATTTCAACAAGAAAGCATGGGTTACACTCCCAACTTCTACACGTCCCCTTCCAGACATGACACACCCATAAATAATTGTTTGCATGTTGTTTAACACCGCATTCATAAGTATTCCAGCTACATGACCGCTGTCTGTGAATGATCAAGTCTGGACCAGACAATCCAGTGATTGATATCATGAGCATCAATCTATGCAATTGGGACACAATGACATGCATCAAGCAAGTCAGCAAGCCTGACCAACTGATCCTGTTACTCGCCTCTCGCGACAAGCATGGGTTGCTTAGGATCAATTCTTTCCTGGATCTTCACTGGTATCCTGTAAATGTAATCTAGGTACTCACGCTTTCACTGGTTCCGGCTTCACCATAGTGAGGACTGTGCCCCCTTCAACACCATAGCCCCCGCTGCCACCTGCTAAAACAGACATAGGGACATCTGACAAGAACAGATGTGGGAACACTTTGATAAGGTTTGTCTGGAAGTGAGTGTGAGCTATACTGGTCATATATTTCCCCACTATTTAGTCTTGAAGTGAGAGTGGGTGATACTGGTCATTAGCCCCTCACCATTTAGTCTGGAAGTGAGAGTGGGCGATACTGATCATATAGTCCCTCATCATTTAGTCTGGAAGTGGGAGAGGGCGATACTGATCATATAGTCCCTCATCATTTAGTCTGGAAGTGAGAGTGGGCGATACTGATCATATAGTCCCTCATCATTTAGTCTGGAAGTGAGAGTGGGCGATACTGATCATATAGTCCCTCACCATTTAGTCTGGAAGTGAGAGAGGGTGATACTGATCATATAGTCCCTCATCATTTAGTCTGGAAGTGAGAGTGGGCGATACTGATCATATAGCCCCTCACCATTTAGTCTGGAAGTGAGAGAGGGCGATACTGATCATATAGTCCCTCATCATTTAGTCTGGAAGTGAGAGTGGGTGATACTGATCATATAGTCCCTCATCATTTAGTCTGGAAGTGAGAGAGGGCGATACTGATCATATAGTCCCTCATCATTTAGTCTGGAAGTGAGAGTGGGCGATACTGATCATATAGTCCCTCATCATTTAGTCTGGAAGTGGGAGAGGGCGATACTGATCATATAGTCCCTCATCATTTAGTCTGGAAGTGAGAGTGGGCGGTACTAGTCATATAGTCCCTCACTATTTAGTCTGGAAGTGAGAGTGGGCGGTACTAGTCATATAGTCCCTCACTATTTAGTCTGGAAGTGAGAGTGGGCGGTACTGGTCATATAGTCCCTCACTATTTAGTCTGTTCGGAAGAGAAAGTGGGTGAGTACCGTCATATATTCCCTCACCATTTAGTCTCGTCTCCGACTGTATCCTCCGTTGTTGTCGTCTACTTGGTATCCGCAGAACATTGGGTTGTTGCCGACTGTAGTCGTCCCTGTGTGTTTGCCTCTCCGTGCGACCACTGCACACAGGGAGAAATCACTGCTCAGAGTAGTCATTTGTCTAACATTCTTATCAGATAATGTACTCTTACAGTTATACACTTTGCTGGGTTTTAACAATTAAAGTGGTTGAAATTCAGTTAAATAATTAAAAGACATTGTCTTAAATGTATTTCATGAAATATTTGTGACAAAATAGGTACAAAAATTTACAGCTTCATTCATGTACAAAACTGAAGCAATGCACAAGATGGACTGAACAGCTTCTATGGAGATGATGGGCAAGCAGCAGGCTATAGAATGGGAAGCCATGACAGCAAGGATAGTGGAGCCACATGTGATGAAACAGATGCACTCACAGCTGCAACATGTCTACTTTCTGAACACTTATTGTCTCTACTTAAAAATACCCTGTAGCACAGAACACATTGTCTCCCCATACTTTCTGAATACATTGTTTCGACTTACAAATACCCTGTGGTAGTGAATACATTGTCCACTTTCATATACCCTGTGGTAGTGAATACAAAGTGTCCATATACCCTGTGGTAGTGAATACATTGTGTCTACTTTTATATACCCTGTGGTAGTGAATATATTGTTTCTACTTTCATATACCTTGTAGTAGTGAATACATTGTTTCTACTTTTATATACCCTGTGGTAGTGAATACATTGTATCTACTTTTATGTACCTTGTAGTAGTGAATACATTGTATCTACTTTTATATACCCTGTGGTAGTGAATATATTGTATCTACTTTCATATACCCTGTGGTAGTGAATACATTGTATCTACTTTCATATACCTTGTAGTAGTGAATACATTGTTTCAACTTTCATATATCCTGTGGTAGTGAATACATTGTGTCTACTCTTACATACACTGCGGTAGTGAATATATTGTTTCAACTTTCATATATCCTGTGGTAGTGAATACATTGTATCTACTTTTATATATCCTGTGGTAGTGAATATATTGTTTCTACTTTCATATACCCTGTGGTAGTGAATACAGTGTATCTACTTTTATATACCTTGTAATAGTGAATACATTGTTTTTACTTTCATATACCCTGTGGTAGTGAATACATTGTTTTTACTTTCATATACCCTGTGGTAGTGAATATATTGTTTCTACTTTTATATACCTTGTGGTAGTGAATACATTGTGTCTACTTTTATATACCCTGTGGTAGTGAATACATTGTACCTACTTTTATATACACTGTGGTAGTGAATACATTGTCTCTACTTTTATATACCCTGTGGTAGTGATATACATTGTTTCTACTTAATATAGCCTGCAATACTGCACACATTGTTCCAACTTTCAAAATTAATACCCCAGAGTAATGAACATATTCTTTCTACTTCCTTCACCCTATGCACTCCCGGGGATGCACATATTTAAGTCTATGTATTTTAGCTCATGGGCTTAAAAACAAGATTTATCTTTTCCTTTTTGGGCTAGTGGATCATTCAAAACACATGGAAGGTAATGGTATAATATGGATAATCTAGACTTTCTCAGACTGTTAGCGCTGCAAGACTTCCATATTCATAATTAATTGTTTGTTTTTAAATACTGCACTCAGCAATATTCCATCTACTTGACGACAATGTGTAAATAATCAAGTCTGGACCAGACAATCCAGTGATTGAAATATACACAATTGGGATACGATGACATCAACCAAGTCAACGGGTCTGACCACCTGATCCCCTTCGTCGCCTCTTCACGGGTGCCAAATTTATGAAGACACATTATTCTCATCAGTTGTATATCAATATGTTTTGGTGTTTAAGTGGAGCATTAGTGTTTTTATGTACCTTTGAATTTGTAAAGTTGATTCAATAGAATTGAATGAAATTCCATAGTTCTGTTTGCATAAATTCTGTATTTAAGTACAGGGCTTAATTTTGGATGAAACATTCGGTGCTCAAAGGGGATACAACCCGTTATTAGGCACTGGGTAAAAATACACGCATTCCCGGTAAGTGTTGAATACAGTCGTCTCTAATGCTGCATCACTACAGAAGTATGGAGGGGGGTATACAGGATATTCAACCCTTTAATGCAAATTAACTGAAATAGTAATCTCTATACATTTACCCATTATCAAGGTCTTTACTTTATGTCTATTGACAAATAAGCTCTCAGATCAACTGAACAAGTACGTTCTCATATTTGATCTAACCTGACTGTCAAAGGTCTCTAGTTCAGTCCCACCTTGGAACCTAGTTCTACATTGTTTCAACATTACTTATACGACACCCCGGAATCATATCTACAAACATACAAAAACTAATATTACAACATTCTTGACTTATTGTTTCATTGTATTTTGATCACTCGGATAATGTCAGTCAAGTTTTTCTTAGCTGCATTAAAACAATCGCTGAATTTGTTCAGCTCTCTGATAATGTCATTTTTATTAAGAAACTTGGATAAAAGCCCACACCATACTTCCCATAAATCTCCACAATCAGATCAATAATACTTTGAAGTGTTTTCATTGGCTGAAATGTTGATAAAAATCAAACAAAAATTCACAATAATTCCAAAGTATCAAAGTAAGCCAACACAGAGAGGAGCATTGTTAGCTCGCTGATAAGATCTGGTGGGGTGGGGGGTAGGCACAGCTGGCACCTGAGAGTGATTGCCTTACCTGAGTCGATGTTTTGACCCGGATCTAAACAATTTGCCTGCCCTAGATAAAGGATCTGCGACCTGGTTTAGTCTGACCAATGAGAATACACGACACAAGTGAGTGGTGAGGGAAGGGAGGCACTAAAATGTATCCATGCTCAAAATTTTCACACAATTTCAGCAAAAACGTCCATCCTTTGAACAAATTGATAAAAGTTTGAGCAAAAGAAATTTGAAGTTACATGAAGACACAGATACATTTCAAATGCAGTATTAGAGATACAAATGGAGAAAACTGTCCAGGGATTGTTTCATTGTTGTTCTTGGCAGCACAGTTCCAAAATTTCATCATATATATACGAGTGGGTGGAGTGAGGTTTCAACACCACAGACAACAGTACTTCAGCTGTATTGTTGTGTGTCCGCTCTGTTGAGAGGTGAGGTGAGGTGAAATGGGGTTTACCATCACATCCAAGATTATTGCACTTACATAGCGATGTGCATGCATGTGTGTGTGGCTGCTTGTACTAGCCGGACTAATGCCGATTTTAAAGTGCTAGTCCACTGAGACACCATGCCGCAGTATAACATGAACACCCCACTCAGGCACAGTATACTGACTCCGACCCGACCAGTCCTTGTTTTAACCCCTTGATGCCAAGCGCAATGCAGGGTAACAACAAGTACCATCTTTTTACGTCTTTTGGTATGACTCGGCCATGGTTCAAACTCCGGACCTTCCGCTCTCCGGGCGGATGTTCTACCACGAGACTATGGAGGCAGTCCGCTCTGTGAAGAAGGAAAGCACAGAATGGTGCATGTGATAGACGTTTACCACAGTGGTTAAACCCACCAACATTAGTGTAGGGGTGACAACCCACGGATCCTAATCAAGGCAAATCTGGTATTCAATACCAAGATCTGCAGATCCTGGCAACAAAGGGAAGCAAATCTGTGAGAAAATGGGCTGCCTTCTCTACACAGAAAATGGGAGAAATGACAAAAATCTTTTAAAATCAAAGGGCCTAAATTATGCAACAATTTTCTCCACTTGTTGGTGATTAAATATAAACAATGAACATAATGAAAAGCTGGTAATACATGACAGGGCAAACTACTTTCACAAGTAAACAACTTAATGGGGCCACTTCTTTTATTTTATATCTTACAGATTCATAAGTAATGAATGGTGGAATTAATGCAAAATCAAATCTTTGTTGATTTGAGAATTTTATTGATGGATAATTAATATGATGTGTTCAAAATTAAGAAGGGCCTGGAGTCCTTAAGTTTTGCTGCGACAGTGTCTGAATATAGGGACCTTCTAAATCCTGTCCTCCATACATTGGGACCCCTCGACTTAAATGCTTAATTTTGAACATTGATATCTACAAACATATATTTGATGAAATAATTCAATCATATTTGTGTTTCATTCACTGGGACATATTTAGGTTGACTGATCTGACAGCATAACACTTTAGCCTTACAGTCAAGTGAAAAGACAACACCTCATAGATCACACAAAGTAGTTTGCCCTACATTCAAACATAAACATGAAATAGTTTTAATATCAGATACAAATTATCTACAAAAACAAGATAGCAATGTCACATAACTGAGCATTCTGAACAAGAGACAGGTGGACTTGAATAACTAGGACACATTTCACAAAGACAAGTCATTTGATGGGGAACTTTGTTATTCCAAACATGACATGGCTTATTACAAAGAGATGACAGTGAAATGAAGACATTCACATGCTGATATCAATTAGTAAAGGTCCATTACAAAAAGTTAATAGAAAACTCTAGAAACACACATTCAAGAGGAGTTACTTCAAAATTCAACACATATTATCTTTAAAAGTTAAAACTCTAGAAACACACATTCAAGAGGAGTTACTTCAAAATTCAACACATATTATCGTCAGTCACGACATGCTATATCATTGTGCCTATGAACTGTTGATCACTTGTTGGTCTGGAGCACTACAACTTACCTAAAGAATGCATGATGCTCAACACAGCACTTCCATAAATGCTTGCAGCCTGTCTTTGTGGGAAGCTCAAATGCATATGTGTGTTCGTCACTCTGGATCAAACAAGATAAAGAATGAAGGACAAATCTCTAACTGTTCTGAAACAAACAGGAAATTACAGTAGGTGAGTGGTGTTTTATGTCACAGTCAGCATGATCACAACCACATGAAGCCCGAAGATAAGAACATCTGGCCCAGGCAAACCAATGACAGAAGTTCTGATCTCAGGAGCAAGGCTCAACACCGTTTGGGCACATAGTCAGCGAGGTCACACATTGCAACCACCAACATGCTTTTGTTACCTTCTTGCCACCTTGTTTGACAAGCTATTGGTACTGATGGCCAGTTCTCCCTGTCCCCTTGTGTGACAAGCCATTGGTACTGATGGCCAGTTCTCCTTGTCCCCTTGTGTGACAAGCCATTGGTACTGATGGCCAGTTCTCCTTGTCCCCTTGTGTGACAAGCCATTGGTACTGATGGCCAGTTCTCCTTGTCCCCTTGTGTGACATGCCATTGGTACTGATGGCCTATACTCCTTCTTGTCCCCTTGTGTGACAAGCCATTGGTACTGATGGCCAGTTCTCCTTGTCACCTTGTGTGACAAGCCATTGGTACTGATGCCTGGTGCCCAACATTCCCCACAGGGTTGCTGAGGCGTGACAGCCATAATCCTAAATGTGTTAGTTTGGCCTATTAAATTCTATTTCCAAAACACAATTTGATTAAGATAATGAGATCCCAAGAGACCAACAACTTCAGTGGTATTTCAAGATGTACTATACCAGGGCATACTCACATTTTTGTCTTTGACCCTGATGATGAATATTTTTCCTTTGAAAGTGACCTTTATTATTCTTGGCCTGGAAAAAGAAAAGAGAGATATGTATGAACAGTCTGTCTGCCCTTCTCATGCCAATCTTGTTGTTTGCCTCCGAACACATGTAGTATGTTATTGCTTCTGTGCCATTTGCCAGAAAAACCTTGATTAACATGCTTAATACCTAAACACGAAAAACAAAATGTGCAGCATATTGTTATGAGAAAAGTCATTAAATTGTGACAGTTTTCAACTTACCAGAAATAATTTCCTATTTTTGACTTATTCTTATATACAACAATTCCTGTGGGCGTCAAGCCGAGGAAGTACTCTATATTGCCTTCTCCCTGGAACAAAGAAACAGAAATACCGTCAGTCGTAGGGGAGCCTCAAGTGTACATACCCTCATGCACAACTTGGGCCGGTATTTGGGGTCAATATGGAAGCTACCCAGGTGAAATGTCACCAAATAGGATATTCTTGCAAGTTTCTTTTCTCATTGTTGGGTAAAAATGACATCTCCACAGATTTCTATTCTTAGTGTTGGGGGAAATATGATCTCCTTGCAAGTTTTTTTCTCAGTGTTGGGGAAATATCATATCTTCACAAATGTCTTTTCTCAATGTTGGGGCAAATATGATATCACTTGCAAGCTACTATTCTCAGTGTTGGCAGAATATTGTACAATCACAAACGAAGCTCTTCCAGTACTTCTCCACAGTCAAGTTGTTCCACAAGCAGGTTAAGTGACGGAGTCAGTGTGGCTGCTCTCCCAGCTACCCTGCTGTGTTGGGGTGGTCATCAACAAGTAGGTTAAGTGACGGAGTCAGTGTGGCTGCTCTCCCAGCTACCCTGCTGTGGTGGGGTGGACATGAACAAGTAGCATCACAAGACACCAGGACATTCTCCCCATGTGACTGGTGCCTATCCCATCATAATGTGGCTGTTAACCTTCTAGCGCCTAACAGGCAGCTTTGGTTGCATACTCCCCAGGGAGATGATAATGATTCTTGAGTGCACACTGCACCAGTGACCGGGGTAATAATAGCACTTTGAGCATGCCCTGAGTGGTGTGGAAATATGTGCAATATAAATAGCCTATTATTATTTTAACTCACCACTGCTAAGACATTACAATTAGCTGATGGCTGGTCCTACGGAGGGATTGTGACAAAGAACTGACGGCTGGTCCTACGGAGGGATTGTGACAAAGAACTGACGGCTGGTCCTACGGAGGGATTGTGACAAAGAACAACCAATATTGTCATAGCATCGGAGACACATTCTTCCTACTATTCAGAGAATGCACAGGAATACATTCAAGTGTTCTCAGTGTAAAATTCAGTGTTGATATACACAAACAAATTCCAGTGACAAAGCTTCAGGATACAATCTGTGCCTAGTTTCAGTCTCCATCTATACGTAGGTACTTCAGTTGTACCACAACGGCATGATAGGTTTATTATTCTAATAATTAATTATAAGAAAGCAAAGAGATGAAAATGTCAGTTTGTTCTATTCCAGTAAAGCCGGTCACAGAAACCTAATTTGGGTTAAAAGCATAACTCTATACTGGGATGCATCTAATAAATATGAAAGCTTTGTCAGACAAATGGGCTTAAATATGTGCTAGGCAAAAGTAAAAACATATTTAAAAAATCACAATAAAGGAAAAAAATAAATAAAATCCATAAAAATTTGGAAATTAGGTCACAGTAACCTAGTTTGAATGAACAAGACAACTACAGGTGTCAATGCAAATATTGATGAAAGCTTTATATGGGGTTAGAGCTGAAACTGAATGGAATAAAAGTACTTTTATACCTATGGTCCAACTGGACAATACATGCATAAACTCTATATCCTGACTACCTTCTGAATGTTTAGAAGCCTGTCTATCAGAATACTGTATTAATCTAGGTGTGAGTTGGAAGATATGCACTGTTAGTGTCCGTCGCCATGCCTACCTGTTTGGACTTGTACAGTCGCTGTAGAGAAAAGACCACTTTCACTCCGCGGAGTAATCATCAGGTTATAGTTACGCATTACATCATAGTGACGACACAACAACAGCAGGAGGTGAAGTCGGGTCATAGTCACAGTAACTTGACCTCCAAGAATGTTGGACGGGATAAGGGAACTAACAGACCTGATGGTGGACCTCTTGGTGTGGTCGATTGGACAAGTGAACTTGAAGGTGGGCCTTCACATATGTTAGATTGGGTAGATGATGGATGTCGACCACTAGGTATGTTGGAAGGGATAAGTGGACATGATGGAGGTCGACCTCTAGGTATGAGGGAAGTGATAAGTGGACGTGATGGAGGTCAACCTCTAGTCTATGTTGGAAGGGATAAGTGAACTTGCTGGAGGTCGACCTCTGGTCTATGTTGGAAGGGATAAGTGAACTTGCTAGAGGTCGACCTCTAGGTATGTTGGAAGTGATAAGTGGACGTGATGGAGGTCGACCTCTAGTCTATGTTAGAAGTGATAAGTGGATGTGATGGAGGTCGACTTCTAGGTATGTTAACTGGACAAGTAAACGTGCTGGAGGTTGACCTCCGAGACAGAAGGGATAAGTGAACTTGATTGAGGTCGAACTCTAGGCGTGTTGGAATGGACAAGTAAACATGCTGGAGGTCAACCTCTGGGTGTGTTGGAAGGGACAAATAAGCGTGTTGGAGGTCGCCCTGTTGTCTATGTTGGAAGGGATAAGTGAACTAACCAGGACTGGATGGAGGTCCACGCCATACATCTCCAGCCACTTGACCTTGTCCAAATACTTGTACTCCACCACAGCCGGGACATGACCACTGCAACACACACAAACTGTCATTGTACCAGCAGTAGCAGCAGCATCACATACAAGAACATCACTGCAGCAGCATCGACGGCAACAGCAGCAGCAACCACAACCAGAGTGAGTTTGGTGCCGCTTTGAACAGTTTTCCAGTTATATCACGGCATGTCAGCATGATGTGGAAGGAAAGCCTGAACTAATGCATTTCTTAGACGTTACCACTTTAGTAAAACCCATGAGCATAGTCATGGTGCTGACAAAACTAGAAGCATATGTTAATCATAGCTAATCTGGGATTTGAACCTATCTAGGTTTCTGCCCATCCTATGGGAGAAAGTTCTGCACAGCTGGGCCACCTGGACCCACCACAACACGTGCAACAGCGTGCATGTCACCACAGCTGCCACAGTCTTCGCAGACGCCCACTCACACAATACAGCGCCCATTGTGGCAACCAGACCCTCGTTCACGACGCCGCAAACAATAAAATAAAAATCAATGGTGCCCTCAACCACCCATCCACCATATCTAATAAATCACATCTAGTGAGGAAGAGAATTTATGGATGTCAACTTCTTTATTATGAGGAACACAACTTTTCAGGGTATATGCTTACTATGAAGGAGTAGGTATATACACTAAAATGAAACAGAGTGTTCCTCATAATAAAGAAGTTGACATCCATAATTTGTCTTCCTCATGTGTATCACTTCTAAATGCCTTTCAAAGCCTTGATACATCTTGTGGTTGGCTGAACATTTGTGACAATATCTATTCTGCCAGAGTGAGTGAGTGAGTGAGAATTGTTTTACGCCGCTTTTAGCAATATTTCAGCAACATCACGGCAGGGGACACCAGATATGGTCTCCACACATTGTACCTATGTCGAGAATTGAACCTGGGTCTTCGGCGTGATGAGTGAACACTTTAACCACTAGGTTACCCGACCGCCCCTTATTCTGCTACAGAATCCCAAAGTCAGCTTGTGACTCCCGAACTCACGCAAGTCTCTTGTGTATAGCACTGATTCGGCCCTCCATGTCCTCGGTCTGGTTCTGGACGAAGCAGAACTCTGACACATACCCATGTGTACAGTGGTTGGGGTCGTAGTCACCTAGCTCAGCTGAAACAACAATGGCACATGTCAAATGTCATGACGACATACAGTTATAACCTTCTTGTTCCTTACACTGCTGGTCAACTTTTGATTCTGAAATATTTTGTAATGTTACGAAACAGAAAACTGCAATGAAATTTGTACTTTTGATTATTTAACTTAAAATGAAGCCAAGATGTGTGGAATATTGAATACCAGCATTCAAAACATCTCTGCGCAATTCATTCCCACATGAACTCCTGATTTGTTTGTTTGTTTGATACACAAAAATCTGGACCAGACAATCCAGTGACTGACAAAAGTCTACGCAATTGGGATACGATGACAGGCATCAACAAAGTCAGCAAGCCTGACCACCCAATCCAATTAATCACTCTTATGACAAACACAGTTGCCTCTTAAGACAAACATGGGTTGCTGATGACCAATTGTAGCTCTTCTGAACACCTGAATATCCTTATCAAAACTGGAGCAGTATATTCAGTGTGCGACACTTGCCCTACTATATTAACTACCACAATCAGGGCTAATAAAATCCTGTTGGACATAATCCTTTTTGCCAAGTCTCATTTGGTTTCCCACTTTTCATGCTTCAAAAAACATACAAAATGTTTTTACAAAGAACGTACAAAGATTCAGATTCCTGCTACATCATTAAAAATGCATCATAAAGCACAGGGACAAGACATACTGTTTAAAGCAGCAGGCTTATATGTGTTGGGTCTTAAAGGGCTTGTGAAATATCTCAAGAACTGAGACAAGTGGTGACTTGACATGAAAGGGGGAGACAACCCCAGACAACATGGCAGTCCCAGCCAGTATGAGCTATGTCTCTAGAGCACTCTGCCAATTCTATTCCATCGGGCAGCTAATAACTACTCTAATTACTCAGTCATTTGCTTAATTTTAAGCACAGCACATTTTAAACATCTAGTCCTAGACTGGAATTAGATGCAAAATCATGGGGCATGGTTTACCAGTGATAGGAGGACTTTGTCAGACCATCTTCAGTCCACTCCTCAAATACGCCTATCTTTTTTAGATGATACTAGACTGGAACAATCTCCATTTAATAACAATAATAATAGTGGGTGAGTGAGTGAGTATGGTTTTACGCCGCTTTTAGCAATATTCCAGCAATATCACGGCGGGGGACACCAGAAATGGGCTTCACACATTGTACCCATGTCAGGAATCGAACCCGGGTCTTCGGAGTGACGAGCGAACGCGTTAACCACTAGGCTAACCGACCTCCCCAACAATAATAACAACAACAATAATAATGTAAATGATGGTTCAAATTACCCCCATTAGCAAACAACCAAAATGTTTATAAAATATTTCCAGAGATTTTGAAGCAGTCTGATAAGAACGCATCATGGACGATAAATGTATTGTGTTTGCTTCCTGACTTAGATACTTAGTGTATCAACATGCCAATGTATCGGCATTACCAAACCATCCAATTTACTTCATCACACATGCTGAGACGGGTCTAGGCATCACCGTACAAATGATTCGCCCATATTGTGCTATATAACTATATTTACACATATTTGTCTTATTCACATATGGCAGTTGTAAAACTCTTTTTGTGGCTATCAACAATTCTCATAAATGCTACCTCATCTACTTGTCACATCAAGCAGGTGCTTTATTCATGTACAGACAAGAGGAAGACATGAATATAGCTTATCAAACACCCAGACTGACATAACACACTATTGACATGAGGCCTCTGGGTATCCTGACTGTGTGTCATCCAAGTCCTATTACTGGATAATGTCTCATATTGGATAAAATAGCATGTTTTAATGCAATAAACTTTAAAAGCTTTGGAATATCAATATTATCGCTCCTCTTAATAAAACATTCCTCTTTATTTATTAACATCATTGCACTGATAATCTCTTGACTTTTATTCTTTTTTCAATTACCATAAAAAGAGATCCCTCGTAATTAGGCGGTAACCAGGCCCAGTGATGCTGCAAGTGTACCGAGCTACCCCAGCACCTCCGCCATGCTCTCTTTATAATTGATGAACAAAGCCAACATTGCACAAATACCACATGCTCATTGACATCCGTCGATAACCGAGCATGACTAAATACATCGGCTGATACTGTAGCTGTTGAGCAGTCAGCTGACACAGCCACCAGGACCCCGTGCCACAGAGTGCGAAGACGATCATCACGCCTATACTTTAACAAAGACTTATGACAGTCGTACCACTAAGACAATTGTAACACCCATACTTTAACAAAGACTTATGACAGTCGTACCACTAAGACAATTGTAACTCCCATACTTTAACAAAGACTTATGACAGTTGTACCACTAAGACAATTGTAACTCCCATACTTTAACAAAGACTTATGACAGTCGTACCACTAAGACAATTGTAACTCCCATACTTTAATAAAGACTTATGACAGTCGTACCACTAAGACAATTGTAACTCCCATACTTTAACAAAGACTTATGACAGTCGTACCACTAAGACAATTGTAACACCCATACTTTAACAAAGACTTATGACAGTCGTACCACTAAGACAATTGTAACTCCCATACTTTAACAAAGACTTATGACAGTCGTACCACTAAGACAATTGTAACTCCCATACTTTAACAAAGACTTATGACAGTCGTACCACTAAGACAATCATCACTCCCATACTTTAACAAAGACTTATGACAGTCGTACCACTAAGACAATTGTAACTCCCATACTTTAACAAAGACTAATGACAGTCGTACCACTAAGACAATCGTAACTCCCATACTTTAACGAAGGCTTATGACAGTCGTACCACTAAGACAATCGTAACTCCCATACTTTAACAAAGACTTATGACAGTTGTATCGCTAAGACAATTGTAACTCCCATACTTTAACAAAGACTCATGACAGTTGTACCACTAAGACAATCGTAACTCCCATACTTTAACAAAGACTTATGACAGTCGTACCACTAAGACAATTGTAAGTCCCATACTTTAACAAAGACTTATGACAGTCGTACCACTAAGACAATTGTAACTCCCATACTTTAACAAAGACTTATGACAGTCGTACCACTAAGACAATCGTAACTCCCATACTTTAACGAAGGCTTATGACAGTCGTACCACTAAGACAATCGTAACTCCCATACTTTAACAAAGACTTATGACAGTTGTATCGCTAAGACAATTGTTACTCCCATACTTTAACAAAGACTTATGACAGTTGTACCACTAAGACAATCGTAACTCCCATACTTTAACAAAGACTTATGACAGTCGTACCACTAAGACAGTTGTAACTCTCATACGTCAACATAGACTTATACTAGCACTAACATCGCTTTATGGAACGGGCCCTGGACCTTGAGTCACAAAGCAATCTCGGCACTACGACTATCTTAGTATAGTAAAGCATAGAACATCAACAGTCACATGATCACTTTGTGGAATATGATCCTGGGTCGTCACGACAATCTAGGAATGGGTGCGCATGCACTGAGAACTGCAACCTGATATACTTTCCCACTACAATAAAATTTTAATAATAATTCCAGTATCATTACTGGAGTCATTTTCTCATCTGGATCAGATGACTGACTATATTTAGCTAAAATAGAGCCAGTGAATACTGCTTACTTAATTTCAACAAGGCAGATACTTTTTTTGAAAGGTTTCCATTTTGTTGTCAGCATTATGATATTGGACATCTGAGACTGGTTGAATTTTCAAAACAGTTCCCTGGAACATTACTTAATGTCCTAACCTGGCAAAAAAACAATCTTGCAAACACCCAGTGGGGCCCAAACAACCCCAAATCTAAAGCAAGGCCAATTATTTTCTTCAAATTCAAAAATCACTTGTATCTAAAATAAACATACGAAAAGAGAAAAATATTTATTTTTAATATAATCTTACCTATTTTATATAATCTTACACTGTTTTTAATGTCATCATAAGTAATTTTCACTTAAAGAAATATCGGGGGAACAAACAAATGACAGTTCAGTGTGACCTGACTTAAATACTACTTCCCTGTCATCCATGATGAAGAAACAGTACACACCAATATTTAAGGGAATTATTGCTCTTTATCCCCCACATAAAACATTAAAGCCCTTGACAGAACAATATATATCTCCTTTTGAAGGTGTATACTCAAAAGGTCACTCTCATCATCCTGTCCTCATAACCCTAATATCTACAGTATATATTCTGGTATAAGTAATTAAAGAGCATGCTAAACACCAGTCAGTGGACAAGACGGACAGGACAAGAGTAAGGGTCCTCACAAAGTCCACACAGCTATGATGGCCTGTACATACATATAGATAGTTACCAAACGCTTCTCAAGGGGAATGGCAGACTACGATGCAAGCTCCTCACAGCGATATCCCGTTTGCGGAGCACTCTACACTATCGCTGCCACCAATCAAAGCTCCCCACTGTGATAGGTGGCTACAACCATGCTGACCGTCATCAAACAAGTGACAACTGCCATGATGCCAAATACTCTTACCCTTGCTAATTTATTTTCTGTTTGTCAATCTGAATTTCTGTTTCATCACAACTATCATGTAATTGGTATAGTAAGAATGTAAGGGGAAGTTGGTTGATTTTCCGTTCTTCTGCAATCTCGAACCAATCTGATCAAACAAACAAAAAGGCAAAATCATCTGGGAAATACGGTCAGTCGTAAACCTTTTCAAATTTCACTATGATTGCATTTCCAAAGACATAAACAGAAGTATAAACATTACTACATTTGGGATTAGAGGGCAAATTTCAAGGTTCTTGTAAGGCCGCACCCACACTAGTGACAGCGATGTTACCAAGAGTGTAATGAAGGTGTCACACGCTGGGAAGGAGCTTGACTACGATGAAGTAAGGGGAGAGAACTCACATTGCACAGCATATCCACAAAGATCCACCGCTTCTTCAAATGTGACAGGGAGCCTGCCCTGTAAGATGTCTTGCTTGACTTGCAGAAAAAACAGATACCTGACAAAATAAAGGACACTTATGTAAATTCAACTGTAAATAAATACACACACACTTTTTGATACACGAACATTTATAAGTGATACCAATATTTGGTAAATAGCAAATACTGACCATGTTCTTCAAATACAAAGGATACACAAGCAAGTATTTAAACCTGGAACAGAAAGTTCTTTGAAAAGATAAAATATTGACATCAGCTTTTTATCGAGATGACCATTCAATCTTACTGTGGAAAGATTTTCTAGCTAATAGAGGGTTTAGCTGAAGACAATCTGTTATCATAATGTGTAGTGAAGTAGCAATTACAAACAGAATGTTTGGTGGACAGTGAGTGCGTAGTTTGGGTTTGAACCTGCACTGAACAGTATTTCAATAATACTAGGGCATGTCAGCTGGATGTGGGAGGAATCATATGCCTGAATTGTATTGGTGAATCACATTAACATGGGTATGGTGCTTACAAGCCATGGATCAAACTCAATCAGAAGGAATCTGGATTCAAAACTATCATCATATGATCCTGGCATGGCAAAGGGACATAACTCAGCACATTTAATTTCGGTACCTCAGAAGACTGGGACACCTTTGCCCCATCTGTTGACAGAACGTTCGGTCAAAGGATACTCTATCAACAAATTATCTAACAGCCGGCATAATTTTCTTTGATGTTTTATGGTGATAAATGTCATACTTGAAAACAGGCCCTGATATGTCAGATATCATATATGTTGTATCTGTAATATCACCTCACTTTTGGGGCATCACTGATTGGTTTACTCACCAAATGAAGGCGGAATTGGTTGATAAGTGGATCACCTTAACACAATACAATGTAACAACATCAAACAAAGTCAGGAGAAATAGCAACAATTTAACTGCTTCCGTTGTAGAAATACAATGTAAGCTCCGCCCCAACGTGTGCGATAGCTCGGTGATATTTTGTATACATAGCCGCATCCACATGTAACTTGAACCTGTTCAGTGGAAGGAGAATCAAGTGGATGGAAAATTGGTTGTCAAAATGTAAACGTTGTTGTACAGAGTGTTTGTGTGAGGAAACATTGTACAGAATGTTTTGTGAATGGAAACATTGTTCAGAATTTTTGTGTATGAAACATTGTTGAACAGAATGTTTTGTGAATGGAAACATTGTTGTACAGAATGGTTGTAGATGGAAATGTACAGGACTACAATGTTGTACAGAATGTTTGTGGATGGAAATGTACAGGACCACAATGTTGTACAGAATGTAGATGGAAATGTACAGGACTACAATGTTGTACAGAATGAATGTAGATGGAAACGTACAGCAGGTTTGTAAATGGAAATGTACAGAATGTTTGGCAGTAGGGAGTCTGTTGACAGAAAGTTGGTGCAAAGAAGGTGACATTACACTGACTTTGATTGTCCCATGGAAATTATATTGTTAGGAAGTATTGATCAAACCTCTTTAATGTATTCAAGACTACAATGTTGTACAGAATGTTTGTGGATGGAAATGTACAGGACTACAATGTTGTACAGAATGGTTGTAGATGGAAATGTACAGGACTACAATGTTGTACAGAATGAATGTAGATGGAAATGTACAGGACTACAATGTTGTACAGAATGTTTGTGGATGGAAATGTACAGGACTACAATGTTGTACAGAATGGTTGTAGATGGAAATGTACAGGACTACAATGTTGTACAGAATGTTTGTGGATGGAAATGTACAGGACTACAATGTTGTACAGAATGTAGATGGAAATGTACAGGACTACAATGTTGTACAGAATGAATGTAGATGGAAATGTACAGGACTACAATGTTGTACAGAATGTAGATGGAAATGCACAGGACTACAATGTTGTACAGAATGAATGTAGATGGAAACGTACAGCAGGTTTGTAAATGGAAATGTACAGAATGTTTGGCAGTAGGGAGTCTGTTGACAGAAAGTTGGTGCAAAGAAGGTGACATTACACTGACTTTGATTGTCCCATGGAAATTATATTGTTAGGAAGTATTGATCAAACCTCTTTAATGTATTCAAGACTACAATGTTGTACAGAATGTTTGTGGATGGAAATGTACAGGACTACAATGTTGTACAGAATGGTTGTAGATGGAAATGTACAGGACTACAATGTTGTACAGAATGAATGTAGATGGAAATGTACAGGACTACAATGTTGTACAGAATGTTTGTAGATGGAAATGTACAGGACTACAATGTTGTACAGAATGTTTGTAGATGGAAATGTACAGGACTACAATGTTGTACAGAATGTAGATGGAAATGCACAGGACTACAATGTTGTACAGAATGAATGTAGATGGAAACGTACAGGACTACAATGTTGTACAGAATGGTTGTAGATGGAAATGTACAGGACTACAATGTTGTACAGAATGTAGATGGAAATGTACAGGACTACAATGTTGTACAGAATGAATGTAGATGGAAACGTACAGCAGGTTTGTAAATGGAAATGTACAGAATGTTTGGCAGTAGGGAGTCTGTTGACAGAAAGTTGGTGCAAAGAAGGTGACATTACACTGACGTTGATTGTCCCATGGAAATTATATTGTTAGGAAGTATTGATCAAACCTCTTTAATGTATTCAAACCAATTTCAGTTCTCTGCAACAAAAATTTGTCAGATCTAGTAACATTCAGGACATACCACAGAGACACTCGTAGACACTGATAACCAATTACAATCCACTGATCCCAATCAGCGGAAATTGCAGTAGACAAACAAGTGTCAATCACTACCTAGACAGACCAGGATTAACCCATTCTTCCAGTACTGAGGTCATCAGGAGACCTCATAAATTATTACCCCAGTCATGGCAATAATGGCATCTTATCTTCTACATTCTGAAATTGATTTAGAATATAAGCCCTATCTTGCTTCAGTAGCTCTCAGACAGGGTATGACTTACGCCAAGATCTCATTGAAGAAAATTAAATTTGGGTTCCTACAATACAGATTTCAAAGGATGGAGCACGAGCAATCTTTTCAAATATATTTAGAAATATTCTGATAGAAACACATAAAAGTTGTATCAGTCATATACTTAAGTAAGAATGTCAGTAAAACCAGTTAGGGTCAGAAGCACAAAATGATATATTTCAGTCTCAGTGGAAAGAAATGACAATACACAATGCAGATGACAGTTATCTGTGGGAAACATCACAATACTAAAACACTGGGCAAGTTGCCGATGACATGATGTGCTGCATGGCCAACAATAATCTTTGAAGAACAATAACCATAAACATTTCTCAGACATATCTCTAATATTATTCATTGAGCTGCAGCGTCACAAGACACTTGCTTCCAGACGCAGTTAAATATTTGGACGTTTTAATGTTGCTGACAATGTCCCAACAGACGAAGGGTGTGACGTCTGCAGTGTGAGATGGAAGTGTGACGTCTGCTCAGCAGGATAGAGGGAATTAGCCCTATATTATTGCTGCCATAACCAGTAGACAAAACAAACCTTCTCCATGTCGATCTATATTCCTGTGATCACCGATATCGACCTGTTCAGGCACTGACAAACCCACTCAAGCTGTTCAATGAAATGGGAAAGTCAAATAACTGTGTCGAACATCAACTCGGATATTGTTTTTCCAATATCCATGAATTATGACAGTTTCATGATTTTTTTATATTCAACATTAAGTGTGATTAATTATTCAGAACATACACATTTATGCCACAATTAAATCCTTGTGACCTTGTACCAGGCTCTGTAATCACCCCCCACCCCTCTTCCCCAAACAAATGGGTGCTGGCAGGAGTCCAAAATATATTGTTCAAAATCAAGGGGAAAGAGTTCTTCCACAAAACAATGTTTGTGTTTCAATAAATATGGTCTCAACAGATTTTTGGTCACCATGTAGGTTTTTGTTAAAAAATACTCAAATGATATGATTCAACTTTTTATATACCGGATACTGAGGTATAACACGCTGTTACAAAACGAAGAAACGGAAATATTTACTTATGTGAATACAAACTTCAACCCGTGTCAGTTCCTTGACAACACTGAATACTATTTGTGTGACAACATCTCCAAGAAATCTGTCTTATTCAGCCCCAACCTGAACACTCACACCTCCCAAACTAAGGTTATTTAGTTCATTTGCAGATGTTATAAACATTTCAGGGTCGCAAGACAAATGATGAATCAGTCAGTTACCAGAAACAAGTTTTAAAATTTTGGCCTGTAATGTTATTGGATCGATGCCCCTCATGGAGCATATACATACATTCCAGAAGAGTGTAATTATTGGTGTGGAGTCAAGCTGGCGTGAAACTACTCAGTCCCCTGAGCAGTAGCAGCATACAATAGCTGTGTTGTCTGAGGGACTCCTCCAGTCAGCATGCATGCATGCATACTCCGTCAACATGGGACCCGTGGGGTAGAATAGGTGTTCAGCAACCCAAGCTGTCTGTAAAAGGCGACTATGCTTGTGGTAAGAGTCGACAAACAGGATCGGGTGGTCAGGCTCGCTGACTTGGTTGATGTATGTCATCATATCCCAATTGCGTGGATCGGTGCTCATGATGTCAATCACTGGCAGGACACAGCAAGCTGTATGCATGCTTCATCACAGTGTCCTTGCCAGGACACAGCAAGCTGTATGCATGCTTCACCGAAAGTGTCCTTGCCAGGACACAGCAAGCTGTATGCATGCTTCATCACAGTGTCCTGGCCAGGACACAGCAAGCTGTATGCATGCTTCATCACAGTGTCCTTGCCAGGACACAGCAAGCTGTATGCATGCTTCATCACAGTGTCCTTGCCAGGACACAGCAAGCTGTATGCATGCTTCATCACAGTGTCCTGGCCAGGACACAGCAAGCTGTATGCATGCTTCATCACAGTGTCCTGGCCAGGACACAGCAAGCTGTATGCATGCTTCATCACAGTGTCCTTGCCAGGACACAGCAAGCTGTATGCATGCTTCATCACAGTGTCCTTGCCAGGACACAG